TATATTTGTTGTAATTATAGTATATATGTTATAAAAACAAATTATATTCTGAACTATTTATTTTTTAATTTGGAAGCAACAAAAATATATAATAAGATTTATAATAAAGCATATCCAAAAAGGACTAAATGAGATAAAATGTAATATAAATTTTGATATAATAGAATTGAATTGAATGACATTTGTCATTTGTTGTTACCATAAACGCTCAATATAACATATCCGGAGAGGATTTTGCTTTATAAAATTTTTGCTTACGATGTTTTTTGCTCTGGAATTATAAACACTTTTCTTGATAATTTTATTTAGACTACTTTAACATTATAATGCCTTCATAAAAATTATTAAACGTTCACGACATAAGGAAACCGCTTCAACAGTACCCAGTACCCAAAACAGCTCCATGATGAAGCAGGATCACTTTCATCGTTGTCATATCTATGTAACACACGAAGAACTGCCGAGGGAGTCATAACGGACAGTGATTAATAAAGAATAAATTTCCTTTTCTTAATCTAGATCTAACTGTCTTGTACTAAGCGTGCCGGTATGCAATTTCGACATTCTCATCTTTTTGAACGATTTCAGTAAATCCTCCATCGTGATGGGTCGTACCGTATCGTGAAACTCTTCATCGTATTCATCGTCCGTATTGTTCTCATATTTGGCCCCATCGCTGTGAATTAAAAAATCAGTTATAAAAATTATAATCATAGTGTGTGCCAACTTTCAGAATTCACACAGAATTGAACACCGAGTGCGAGCCTGTATATATGCAATATTTGATTTTCTTTTCAAAGCGTTTAGATACATACTGTGAGCACAAATAATCTCTAATACGATATATAGATGCATTCCGACAAAGTTCTTGTAAATCTGATCCAGAGAAGCCTTCTGTATGTTTCGCCAATGTTGCAATTTCTACGTTTTCTGCAGTTGGCTCGTTTTTCAATATTAATTGTAAAACTTTTAATCGCTGTTGCTCATTCTGAAAGAAAGATATGTGTTATATTTCAACATTATTAATTATGTAACACATGCGGATATTTTATAATAATATTTTAACTGAGACCATATAAAAATTTAAAATCACATAAATACACTTACAGGCAATCCAATATGGAAAGTCGCTGGCATACGACGCAGAATTGCCTTATCTAAATCTTGCGGCCTATTAGTGGCTCCCATTATAATCACAGTACAATCAGAATCGGTTATCAAACCATCCCACAATGACATAAACTGAGCCTTCATCATCGCTGTCGCCTCGTGATCTTGTGAATTGCGGGATCTCAAAAACGAATCTATTACAATTAAAAAAAAAATAACATTAAAACAAGAAATTCTATTTACAGAGATTTAGCAGATAAAATAAATCATATTAAATTATGAACATATTAACACTATGATACACAATGACAATATTTACACGCGTCATATAAATTATATATGATATATAAGATTATATATTATATATTATATATTAGAAATTATATATTAAAATATATGTAGAAAAATTATATACTAGAAATATATGAAGAAATATAAAAGCCATAAGGTTTAAATAGTTGGTAGGATTCGGAGATTATTATAAGAGCGAAACTGTTGTGGTCGTGCAGACTGAGTGTCACATTCATAAACAAAAGATCCCGAATTCGAACCTCAGTCGCTTCATTAATTTTTCTCCGAATATTATTTTCTACATATATTATAGTTACAATTCTTTCATACAAAATAACATAAAGAATTGTAAAATAATAAAGATTCTAAGAATTCTAAATATAACAAAAAATTATTATTTTTAGTATATATTTTAGTACCTATTTCATCAATGAAAATAATGCAGGGCTGCAATTTCATCGCCAATGAAAAAACGGCAGCGGCCAACTTCTGACTTTCTCCATACCATTTATCAGTCAGAATACTCACATCTAAATTTATGAAACGCGTTTTTGCTTCCCGAGCTGTGGCCTTAGCGATCATAGTCTTGCCGCAACCTGGCGGACCATATAATAATACCCCCTGAAAGTAACAAATACAAAACAATTCTAAACTGTCAACCTCAAATAAGAAGAGAGAGCATGCGTTATATAGATACATTTCGACAAAGTTCTTGAAAAACGAGCCAACTACAGAAAATGTAGAAATTGCAACATTGACGAAACATATAGAAGGTTTTTCTGGATCAGATTTAGTAGAGAGTGACAAATATGATCTGATGCATGATCTTTTGATATGGATCAGCTGATGGATTACAAGATGATAATAGCTAACCATTTGGTTGATCAAAACACATCGTGGAATGATATAGCAGGCCTTAATGATATCATTCAAGAGCTCAAGGAGAGTTATTCTGCCTATACACAGGAAGCTCTTGAAGAATAACCCAGGCCGTTAAGGCCTGCTATATCATTCCACGATGTTTTGATCAACCAAATGGTTAGCTATTACCATCTCGTAATAATTCGTCAGCTGATCCATGTCAAAAGATCATGCATATTTGTCACTCTCTGCTAAATCTGATTCAGAGAAGCCTTTCTGTATGTTTCGCCAACGTTGTACTTTCTACATTTTTTGTGATTGGCTTTTTTTTCAATA